GAGCACAAAAGCCGTTCTCATGCTAAAGACGAGGCATTCAGAATGGAAAAAAATCGGACCCCACTAGCTTACTGTGAAACTCCTAATCTCATGGCCCTCTTTGGATGGCAGGCCAGGAGATTTCCAATGATCTCATTAAGCCCCACTGAGCTGTGTTTCCATCTCACCTTCTTTTCAGGATCCCGGGGGGTGGGAAGGAGGAGGGGGTTTGATCAGGTTACATCATGCACCAAATTCTTTTCTTCTGCTCCTTGCTTTGTGATTTACAAGCAAAAGCAGCAGAGAGAAAGAATAGGAGAGGAGATTACAGCTCAGGTGGAATTCTGAAGTCTTTTTTCAAAAAAGCCCATTTTTTGGCAGGTGCTAGGGGGAAAAAATCTTAAGTGGTTGTTTTGATTACAGATGGGAGGAAAAAATAACCAGGCTGATTCGGTCCTATTTTTACTTAGGACCAGGAATGGGATTTCAGTCGAGGAAGGGAATTTCAATTGATCAGAGTTTACTAGCTACGCTGAATTTTGAAAATATGTAAATATATGTACCTGTGCGCACACAGGCATGCGTGTATGTACAGAGCGATTACTAAAATGAAATGGATACGAATGTGTCAGGCTCAATTATATTAATGAGAAAAATAAAAGTTGGAATTAATCAGCGAAGCGCCCAAGTAATGGAGCTTTCCTGATCCACATTCCCTTCAGACTAAATATTTGATTACTTGCCATGAGAGATGCTGAATTAAGTGCATGTTGACTCTACTCAGTCTCCTCTATCTCACGCTGCCCTGGAGGGTTGGAATCAACAACCAAAACCGCCAGGCTTTTAATCATTTTTATGTCGTAGGGGAGTAGAGTAGCAAAGTAACTAAAGGTTTGGTTTGGGGGGGGGGGCATTTTTAAATCAGGAGCTTGTATATAAGGATGCAAAAAATGGAGGGTGATTTCTTGTCCGCAAGAGTGGCTTTTTCGTAAGAGCCAAGAGCTGTTCTGTAAGTGGAGATGAACATAAATTACAGTTTGAGAGATCACCGAATTCCTGTGAGCTGTAATTGAAAAATGCGGAGCTCCCAGATGCCCAGGATATCTTTTTTCCAGCTCGACTAGTGTTAATGGCGAGACCCAGGGGGAGTGACTGCTTCAGCCTTTGCACAGCAAATGCTTTCCAGTTCGTTGTAATACCATCTTCAGCCAGGGGCACCATAGCTTCACCTGTCTTGCTAGGTACAGGCAGAGGTATGGGAAGGAAGGAAAGCTGAATCCTTCTGATGGCAGGCAAAGAAGATGCCATTTAAACCCATTTATTTTGAACCATCTGGTCATGCATGTGCTGGGGGTGGTTGAGAGCAGGCCGGGGGAAGAGGTGCGGACAGCTGCGCCTTCAGACCTCTGCTTGGGAAAACTCGAGCGCCATTCACGCTGGCCTCAAGGGGACAAGACCTTTGGGGTTGTACCTCTTTTATCTTGTTGGACTTGACGAGCCCGAAAATTAGAAAGGCTGAGTGCCTTGGGGCAATAAACTGCCTGGCAAATGCTCCAGCAGCAGCAGATTCATCCATCATCAAAAAGTAAAGCCAACAAGCCGAACAGGATGTTGCTCGGAAGATATGCTGTAATCCACTTGATCCATCCTGCAGGTTGAGTCTGATCTGGCATGGGGCTGGGCATTCCCGGGGAGGGGCGAAGGTCTCCAGCACCTGGCAGGGTGCTCAGGACCTATCGGGGCCGGAGTCTTTCTCGGAATAGACCATTCAACAGGAAGGAAAGGAGCAATTCTCGCCCTTGCTTGGAACAACCCAATCGGCGTGGAGAAATTGCTTGGAACAAACCATTCAGTGGGGAACAAGGCTGCTCTT